TATTATTGTTCAGCTTCCCTCCACCACATTGTTAGACTGTAGATGTCAAATGAACTGTATGTCTTTGCTATTTGCTAATTTCTACAACAAAAACAACAGATTTGTAATCATGCAGCCCTAGTTCTCAATACTTCATGAAGGCCAAACCCACTAGCAAACATAGTTATTTACTCTGTCTCCGAGACAGACAGACAAGTCGCTCTCTTAAATCCTGCGGTTGCAGATTGCCGTGGTAACGAGCAGGTGAGGCTGTGGCATTAATGGGCTGTCTGTCAAACATGTCACCAAGGAGACGATGTCGAACGTGTCATCTGGGAGGCGATGTATGCGGCGCGTGTGCAGTGACAGATGTTTCCGTGCCAAGAACTCACCTCAAATCATTAGCCGTGGAAGGAGAAGAACATGTGACAGATGAGCGGTGTATGAAAACTAATGCTTTATAGGACATATATTGTGCCAAGTTGAGCTGTTGACCACGTTATAACGGTATAAATAGGATTCTATACAGGTGTCTTGTATGATTGAGCTTCCAATGATGAACAAGCAAGCCCAGATAGACTGTGTTTCTGATGTGAAATAATAGGCAGATGGATTGATTTTATTCACCCCAGAGAGCAGCTCGTGTAGTACCTGTGGGGAAATTAACCAACACACATAATGGATCTCTTAATTAAAATATCTCTCCTCTAATAGAAAAATGATAATAGAACACGTTTTCTGATTAGCCATTAGAGCTACCTTTGAGCCAACACTATCAGCGTCAGACTGAGCAGACGTCATGTAAGGTAGTGTAGAAGACGTTGTGTTTGTCATAATACTACAAGCTAAAAAATACTATTCTTACTGCATGTGAACAAGACTGGACAGATACAGGCATGGGAATCGTACTTACAAAGGATACATATTTGATATTATTGCTTCGGTAACAGTGGTCGCCAAACCTGGGATGGGGTTCTTTGGACGTTTCTATCAGGCCCCTAAGACTACCTCAGTGTATATAGATATATCATTAAGACTATAAAATCCCTCTGTGCTGTGGGCAGAGCTCTGGAGCCATTCTGCTGCAATATATGATGTTTAATATATTACATTTATGTGTATAAAACAAGTACTGAGATTTTTTTTTTTTTCAAAATTAGACATTCCTATGCGGCCCACAGGAGGATAAGTTTACCCATGCCTGGTCTATATTTTACTGACTCCGCCAACAAGGGGGTATTGTAAAAGTCTTTGTAAGCTGAAGCAAAATCTACGGTGTGTGTAGATGGGATGTGATGTAGGAAGACCCCTTTATAATCTATAGATTCGATTAAATTCAATTGGACGTTTGTGTGTATAGCCCTAAATAGGCCTAACAACAGCAGTCGTCTAGAAGGACTTTACAAAATTCTTGATTTCTCCCCAATAGATCATAGATGTTGGCTGGATGACACTGTGTTTGAACCTTCATGGCTACTTTTGCACAGTGCCACATAAAATGACACAGTGGGCCGCATTCTGCCTGCGAGCCTTACTCTAGACGTGCCATTTGTAAAGTGATTATGAGCATATGGGAAAGCAACATTTGTTGGCTCTTTATGATTAACCCCACCACAAACAACAATTGTCCATGTTTTTACTGTCGAAGTTGTGGTCCCCCTGTAGACCTACATGTGAAAGCCTTGCTCAAAGACCTTTGAAGCTAAGCCAGGCAGGGCCTAGTTAGTACTGAGATGGGAGTCTTCCAGGGAAAACCAGGTGCTACAGCGGGCTGGCTACGGCTGTAAACTGCCAAACTGTTGTTACAACAACATAGAAGTAGTAGTACTGTAGTAGTTTATCACCACCGTGTATGGAGTGAAGGAATAACATTTGTAGCAACGTTGAGTGTCCAGAAAAGAGCTATATAAAATGGATGCAATATTATTACAGACATTTATAAAACCCTAGTGTATTTTGTGTTGGCGCCAATGGGACCTCATTCATGGCGTGAACACATGTCTGAGTTAATCTTCAAATCGTGTCAAATTCAGCCTCCGGATTAAATCCCAGTGCGTCACATGTGTTTTCGTTGGCCGGCTCACCTCACTGGGGGACACTGTTGACTGTTTGCCAACGACCAGAGCATTTGAGCTAATCCGCTAACGGCTAATGTGGCTAATTGCGGATTTAGCATGTTTGTTATTGTTTGTTGGTTCAGCCCAGCCTGTGTACCCAGCTTTGAAAATGAGCAGTGAGACTTGGCTAAGCGGTGGCCATTTGCAGATATTCTAGGGCATTGTTAGAGTGTTATTCTTAGAGCGGGCAAAAGAAAGGAACAACTAGAAAAATCGACCAGCTGGGACCGTCGCATTTTTTGTTCCTCGCTCAAATTGCAGCAGTCGCAAGGCAAATCGATTTTTGTATTGACGCATGGGTTGTGTCAAGAATTAGCCGAGCGAAAGATTCAATAGCAATATCACTGCACTGTTAGCGTCTGTGTCGGCTCCTGCTGTGGCACTTTAGCATTAGCATAGCTCCACACATGAATAGTTTATGAGAATTTTTTTATATCGGTCAAGGTAATAGCAGTAGCCATGTAATGGTCTCTTTCGTTTTACAGTCCGATGACAGGACAGTAAATGGCAGAATAGTCACAATAGCAGTCTTCTCAAAGACTTTCTAATATTGCTGCTTTGACAATAGTAGAATAGAAAATCACACATCTTTAAGCATCCTCTATCTTAGCCAAGAAAATAAGAAAAATTGTGGGAAAAAGCAAAAAAATAGATGTATTGTTCAGTCTTGACATGCAAAAAAATTATAAGACAGACATGGTCAGGGATTCTAAGCTGTTAATAGAAATGGATGTTGTTTTTCTTGGTCTCTGTACCAAAATGATTGCGGAACTTTGATGCCTAGTAGCCAGATTTGACTTTAGCACACTGGACCAAAACCTTAACCAAAATATTTAACTGACACATTTAGCTTATTTAACTACCGTTAAACCATGCTATGCCACAACAACAAAAAAGACAAAAAACACTTATTTATCAAGCTTTAGAGGCAAATATAACCACTATCACTATGTAAATTAGGAAAGACAAAAACTGAATATTGGTGGCTCCACAGATTCTGTAATAGCACTCCACCCAGTCTCCTCCATGTTGCATTTACACTCCAGATTATTATCAAAAACTGTTTTTCTTTTCTTTTGAGTGTCACATTGATTTGCGTACAAATTTAGATGGTGGATTAAAACTAAATTAAAGTCAACAGGTGAGCACACTATAACCACAATAAAACAGTAATGCATTAGGTGGTATAAGGATTACATATGAGATCCAACTACTAACATTACGACATGAACCTACATGTGGTAGTTAAGATATGTGTTTGTGAATATGTTTTTTTAAGCAACATTTCAAACAGTATACTTATTGGATTCTCTTTCAACCCTTGATGCATAATCATGTCCGCAGACACAAGACACAAATCAAATTACTATGTAAATTAGAGAAACCCATAGACATTCTCAATTACAAAAACAAAGTATGTGAAAGCCATATAGTGTGTGTATAACATTACAGTTCTGTTTATTAATGTTAATTTATATAGAGCTTTTCACAGACTGAGAGTCACAAAGAGGTTCATAGGTGAAGCAGCTCACAGCTGCATCATCAGTGTTCTGCTCAGAGCAGCAGTTGTAGCTGTGTGTCCTGTATCAGGGATATACTTTGAGTTTTTTTTTTGAATATTTGTATCTCCATTCGGAATTGTTTAATCCGTACCTTGGTAGTGAAGAATGCTGGTATGATATTTTGAGTACATTTGAGTATGATAAAGCTAAAGTGAAGCCACCAGAGAAACAGGAACAAATTATATATATCGTAATTCCTGATTTATTTTTGATGAAATTCCTCAAGTGTTCATCTCATTCCACAACCCTTAATTCAATACTATTCAATTGAGCCCAAAATCACAACAGAAGTTATCTCGGAGGACTTCACAAAGTTGTGGATTTGCCAACACAGATCAGAGAAATAAACAGGTCAAACACAAGAGATGCAATGACAACATACACAAAGGAGCCATTGGTCCATAAAGGGCAGCTGTCCAATGTGTTATTATGATTACTGAAATAGATATGATTCATGACAAAAATATGTGTTGAGTTGGGATTAACTGTTGCAGCTCTACTGAAACCTTATTGTTTCTCATTTTTACAGCAGACAGATACAAGTCTCTGCTCTGTGACGAACACACTGTGCATTGTGAGCAGAGAAAGAAACGCTCATCCTCCTGTGTGTCCAAACTCAGTCCAATCATTCGCAGCCTTGAATCCTATCTCTGCTTGTGTCAGTCTCATGATAAAACACTGCAAAAGACTTTTACTTGTTTAAGTGTTTGTTGAGACATCACTGAGATTCATTATTTGTGTCCCTTAATGATCTTGAGAATAATTTGTCTCAACCCCAAGGTCCTCCAGACTGTTATTAGTAGCCCCTGAAATGATTGTCAATTATTACAACATTGATGGAAAGGTCAAAATGATCTGCCAAAGCATGTTATACCTCATTTAAAAGAAAATTGTAAAACAATGACCCCTGACCAAAAAAAGTTTGACCAGAAATATGTGGGTAGCCTTCCTCTATCTAGTGGTAAAGTGAAGAACACCATTATCCAAATTTGTAAATATTAAAAATGCCGTAGTGGAATTGAAGACACAAGTAATTTGGCTTTTGTACAGGGAGTCAGAGTAACAGACAAACAGAAGAAGCAGAGAGAAGTGTTGTGTCGATTCTATGGAGCTAAACCAACTTCAAGTCTGTGTTTGATGAGGGGACAGGGTTGTAAACATGTTTTTGCATAATAAGGGTGAACACAAGACCACTTTTTCTATCTCAGTCACTCAGTCACACTTGCCTAGAGACTGAAATCCTGAATACACTGCTGCCTCTTTCATTTCCTCTTCTTTCTCCTTGTCTCAAACTCATTCATTTTGTATGGATTTTCTGATTACTTATTTTTTTTGCCCACAGAAACTCCACATACTGCATGAAGGTGTCCATGTCCCTAAACGTGGCGGAGAACGACACGGACGTCTGCTACAACTCCAAGATGAGGTCGTACGAAAAGGCAGAGCTGAGCAAGAGCAAGAACATCTCCTGCCCGGGGATCGAAGAGTACATCCAGGCCGGAACTGAACCAGACATCACCTGGTACAAGGTAAGAGCAGGGTGACCCCAGAGTGGACCCCAGAGTGAAAGACCTATAGACTGTACTGTATAACAGAAGTGGACAAGAGCTGACGTCACCATGAGTGTTAGCCTTAATGTGGAATTGACAGTTTTGAACATAAGCTAGCTGGAGCCAACTTCCTCTAATGGCCTGTGACAGGGGCAGACGTCCAAGCACAGATCGGAATTCACAAAAAACATTATCACAATATATACACCAGGATCACAGAGAGAGCTAAACCACACATTTTAAAGCCCAGAATGGTGAGTGTGACACCAACAGTTATTGAGCTAGAGAACTTTAATTTTCAATATAAGTCAGTAGGAGCCAGAGCGAGTTGGAGAAAGGTCAGAAAGGGATGTGAATTTTGTGTGCTGATTTTTGCCAAATTAGCGTATACAAATTTACAACGTTTTTTGTGCAAAGACATTGATTTTCTTCACGTTGATGTCTTCGAGGACTCCCACTGTCACGGGGTGAAGTGATGGAGGACTCAAAATGCAGGAATGCGAAAAAACAAAAATGGTTTAATGATAAAAATCAAATAAATGTCCAAGATGAAAACAAAATCCAAACCAGGAACACAGACTGACAAGGACAGACGTAAACAATACAATGAACCAGCAAAAAGAGGAAAGGAGCACTGGGTACATATAGACACAGACACAGGTGAAACACATCAGGGCGGGGCAGACAATCAACACAGGGGAACAAGACAAGATGTACATCCAAAACCAAACTTAGGTCAAAATAAAACCAAAGTACAAAAATAAAATCCACACCATGACAGTACCCCCCTCCAAGGGACAGCTCCCAGATGTCCCAAAAACCCAAACATGAACCAGGGAGGGTGGCGGGGGTCCAGCGGAGGGAACTTCAGGTCCGAAGCAGTGTCCAAATCAATCAGGGACCGAAGCTGGAGCCCAGTGATGACCTTCCGTAGGGAAACTGGCTCACCCCGGGCGGAGACATATGCCCGGCGGTGACACAGACAAAACAGAACCACCCCAAACGGACATCCATGTCTGGCGGTGGCAACAGGTGAGGGGAAGGAGAGGTCATCGTAGGGCGACAGACAGACGAGAATATCCAGACCAGGACTTCACTGGGTACCTCTCGGCAGGTCAGGGGGAGGGGAACAGAGGACCACCCCGGACGGAGAACAATGCCCGGCGGTGGTGCAGGACAGGTGACCACCCCAGACGGCGCTTCTTGTCTGGCGGTGGTTGTAGGTAAGATGACCTTGGCAGAGATGAGGTCCAGAAAAATTATCAAGGTGTGGGTAAAAAAAAAAAGCAGTCTGCGGAGTCCAATATTGGTCGGTTCATTCTGTCACGGGTGAACAAGGAAGGACCCAAAAGCAGAACTGCAAAAATAATATAATTTAATAAACGCCACAAAAAGTACAACTGAAACCAAACCACAGAAAATGTCAAAATAAAACCAAAGTACAAATATAAAAGCCACACCATGGCAGCACCCCCCCTCCAAGGGACAGCTCCCAGATGTCCCAAAAACCCAAGCCAGGGAGGGCGGAGGGGGTCAAGCGGAGGGAACTTCAGGTCCGAAGCAATGTTCAAATCAAACAGGGACCGAAGCTGGAGCCCAGTGATGACCTTCCACATGGAAACTGGCTCACCCCGGGCGGAGACATATGCCCGGCGGTGACTCAGACGAAACAGAACCACCCCAGACGGACATCCAAGTCTGGCAGTGGCAACAGGTGAGGGGAAGGAGAGGTCATCAGAGGGCGTCAGACGAGAATATCCAGACCAGGACTTCACTGGGTACCTCACAGCAGGTCAGGGGGAGGGGAACAGAGGACCACCCCGGACGGACAACCATGCCCGGCGGTGGTGCAGGACAGGTGACCACCCCAGACGGAGTTTTTTGTCTGGCAGTGGTTGCAGGTAACGGGGTCGAGGTAGGCAGTGAAGTGAAGGCAAAAAATAAGTAAAAACCTGGTGATTGAAGATGAACTGGGAGCAGGTGTGGTGAAAAAAAATAAAGCATTCCGCTGAGTCCAAATGTGGCTGGTCCATTCTGTCACGGGGTGAAGTGATGGAGGACTCAAAATGCAGGAATGCGAAAAAACAAAAATGGTTTAATGATAAAAATCAAATAAATGTCCAAGATGAAAACAAAATCCAAACCAGGAACACAGACTGACAAGGACAGACGTAAACAATACAATGAACCAGCAAAAAGAGGAAAGGAGCACTGGGTACATATAGACACAGACACAGGTGAAACACATCAGGGCGGGGCAGACAATCAACACAGGGGAACAAGACAAGATGTACATCCAAAACCAAACTTAGGTCAAAATAAAACCAAAGTACAAAAATAAAATCCACACCATGACACCCACAGTTCTGCTCTCCTCTTGTTACACTGTTGAAAACGTGTTTTTTGTAAGTGGGACATGCATATGCAGCAGCCCAGGGACCGGCTTTGTACTGCGGAGCACAGCGGACTTTGATGAAGCTGTTTAGTGACCACTTGGGTCCATCCATCACACAAGCCGGTCTTCTGCCGTCAGCTTGGAACGAATGAATGGAGAGACAAAGACGAGACCAGCGGAGTGACAGCCCCCTCGTACACACTCAAGTTATTGGACACAGTTTGTTAGACAGATTTACAATTTCAAGTTTTAGGAGAATATATTACAGACAACCCTGAGGGAGTGAAGCCTGATTCACACGTGAAGGGAAGACAAAGGGAATTCTCTGTAGATTTTCAAACCTGAGAAACCCCATATCACAGGTAAGAGTTTTGTGTGTGGTGGGCAAAATCAATACATTGGTTACAATAATTTTGTATTGATTTTCTGATTTATTTGTTCACGTTCAAAGGGAAATCTCCCAAAACCTGGAGATCAAACTTCAGATTCAACAAACATGGCGGGCCCAATGGATTGATCTTAGGCGAATGCTAGAAAAGTGAACCAGGTGAAATTAGTTTAATCTGACTTGAATATCAAAGTTAAAAAGTACAGTGGAAGCCATGGAGCAATATATCAGTCCAATAGAAATACTTGTAATTTATTTAAAAAAGAAAATGTTGACAAACACAATGTTGTGGATTAATCTTTTCTAGACAATGCAAGCACAATCTGCAGGTGAGCTGTCTGTCCACCAGATTTTTTGTATTGCAATGTTTTCATGACAGCTTTTGGGAAGTTTTCCTCTTCTACTTGCAGTTTTATTTTTTGTAATAATTTTCAATATTGGTACTTTACAAAACCAATTTTCAATGTTGGTTTCAAGGCAACTACATTCAACCATGGTTGGGGACCATTGTACAAGGCAACAGACAATGTGCTTACAAATACACAAATCACTTGAATTCATGTCTCATCCTGTTTACTGACAACATGTGCACCAGACTGTTGTGCGTGAACGAGTTCATAACAACGCGTTCGTTGAACACACTCTTTTTTTGTGAATTTTGAACTGAATGCAACACATTTTTTAATAAAGAACTTGAGCGTTAATTAGTTCGGCAGACATCACTGTAAATGAACACTGGAATTTGTTTGAAGAATTTATTTGTAAATTATGGTGGAAAATAAGAATTTGGTCAATAACAAAAATTCAACTCAATTCTTTGTAATATAACCTTTGTGGGCAATAACAATTGCTATAGGTCTTTAACAGGTTTGCACACACAGTAGCTGGTATTTTGGCCCATGCCTCCATGCAGATCTTTTGGTTGGTTTAGGTCTTACCTTGAAGACAGGAAGTACTTTGTGGAGATTGGAAACTGTGTCTCAGATCATCTGGCCCTGACCTGTGGAGTACCACAGGGGTCGATCCTGGGACCTCTTCTGTTCAATCTCTACATGCTGACGTTAAGTCAGTTAATACGCAGAAACGAAGTTTCCTATCATAACTATGCAGACGACACTCAGATCTATGTCTCACTGACTGCAGGAGAACATGGACCAGTGGACTCACTCCTTCACTGTATCCAACAGATCAGTGAGTGGATGCAAAACAACTTCCTTCAGCTAAACGCAGACAAAACTGAAATGATTGTCTTTGGTCCCCAGAAACAAAGAGAGAGCGTCATCTGTCACCTACAGTCTCTCTCCCTAAAACCTTCAAACAAGGTCAGAAATCTAGGGGTAATACTGGACTCAGACTTACATTTTAATAGCCACATCAAATCAGTAACATCAGCAGCTTTTTACCATCTAAAAAACATTGCCAGGATCAAAAACATAGTATCTAAAGCAGACTTGGAGATTCTTATCCATGCATTTGTCTCCAGTGGGTTAGACTGCTGCAATGGCCTGCTCACAGGTCTGTCCAAACAGGCTGTAAAACAGCTGCAGTACATTCAAAATGCAGCAGCTCGAGTCCTGACTAGAACCAGGAAGTACGACCACATTAGTCCGGTCCTCAGGTCTCTGCACTGGCTTCCTGTGGCTCAGAGAATAGACTTTAAAACAGCTCTGCTTGTGTACAAATCTCTCCATGGCCTCGCACCAAAATATATTAGTGACATGTTAGTCCCATATGAACCAGCCCGGACTCTGAGGAGCACAGGGACTGGACTCCTGTTAGTGTCCAGAGTCAGAACTAAACATGGGGAGGCTGCTTTTCAGATTCATGCTGCTAAAATCTGGAACAGTCTTCCTGAAGATGTGAGACAGGCCTCCTCTCTGACAATGTTTAAAACCAGGTTAAAGACGGTTCTGTTTAGCTGTGCATACAACTGAGGGATTTAATATTTGTATCTTTTTTTTACATTTTTTTGTTTTAATGTACTGTGATTATTTATGATTTTAATGCTTTCTTGTTTTGTTCAGCACTTTGAGTTACCTTGTGTATGAATTGTGCTATACAAATAAACTTGCCTTGCCTTGCCTTGCCATGATTTGGGGCTGTCGCCGAGGAACACGGACTTTCAACTCCCTCCACAGATTTTCAATGGGGTTGAGGTCTGGAGACTGGCTAGGCCACTCCAGGACTTTCAAAAGCTTCTTACGGAGCCAATCCTTCGTTGCCCGGGCAGTGTGTTTGGGATCATTGTCATGCTGGAAGACCCAGCCACGTTTCATCTTCAAAGCTCTCACTGATGGAAGGAGGTTTTGGCTCAAAATCTCACGATACATGGCCCCATTCATTCTTTCCTTAACACGGATCAGTCGTCCTGTCCCCTTAGCAGAAAAACAGCCCCAAAGCATGACGTTTCCACCCCCATGCTTCACAGTAGATATGGTGTTCTTGGGATGCAACTCAGTATTCTTCTTCTTCCAAACACGACGAGTTGAGTTTCAACCAAACATTTCTACTTTGGTTTCATCTGACCACATTACATTCTCCCAATCCTCTGCTGTATCATCCATGTGCTCTCTGGCAAACTTCAGACGGGCCTGGACATGCACTGGCTTCAGGGACACGTCTGGCACTGCAGGATTTGATTCCCTGTCGTCGTAGTGTGTTACTGATGGTAACCTTTGTTACTTTGGTCCCAGCTCTCTGCAGGTCATTCACCAGGTCCCCCCGTGTGGTTCTGGGATTTTTTATCACCGCTTTCATGATCATTTTGACCCCACGGGATGAGATCTTGTGTGGAGCCCCAGATCGAGGGAGATTATCATTGGTCTCTTAAGTCTTCCATTTTCTGATAATTGCTCCCACAGTTGATTTGTTCACACCAAGCTGCTTGCCTATTGTAGATTCACTCTTCCCAGTCTGGTGCAGGTCTACAATTCTTTTCCTGGTGTCCTTCGACAGCCTCGGACAGGTGTCTTATATAAAGATAACGAGTTCAAACAGGTGCCATTAATACAGGTAACAGGTGGAGGACAGAAGAGCTTCTTAAAGAAGAAGTTACAGGTCTGTGAGAGCCAGAGCTCTTCCTTGTTTGAAGTGACCAAATACTTATTTTCCACCATAATTTATGAATACATTCCTTAAAAATCCTACAATGTATGATCCTGGATTCTTTTTTCACATTCTGTCTCTCACAGTTGAAGTGTACCTATGACGAAAATTACAGACCTCTGTCATTATTTTGAGTGGGAGAACTTGCACAATTGGTGGCTGACTAAATACTTTTTTGCCCCACTGTATATATAACAGAATTTTTCAGTCTCTTAATTAGCTCTGGTCTTTGATAGCACGTTAGTATTTACTTAAAGTAGCAATATGTAAGATTTTCATGTCAAGGCATCCATTAATGGCCCTAATACGTTAAAAGGCATTATTAAACCGCTCTTTTCGAATACTTGTTTAACTGATATCAGAAGTTCAGCCGAGATAGTCTGTGTACCAGAATTCACCACGTCGAGCTAACCTCACTGGTAAAGTAAGTGGCTGCAGAACTAAAAAAGTCTTAAAGACAAATGTGAAGGTAAAGGTGCACTTTATTGATCCCCGTAGGGCCATTGATCCTCTGCATTTGAGTCGACCCATCCTGATGCCGCTAAGGCTTACGTCAGGAGCAGTGGTCGCCGTACAGCGCCCGGGAACCCATCTCCAGATGTTGATGCTCGGCTTGGTCATGAGGTCTTGTCATGATTCTCAAATCATTAACAACAAAACAAGGAATAAAACAAGAATTTCTATCGGGGCCTTTGTGAAAAAAAAAGTGCTGGTTATAGTTTTTTTGTATACAAAACTCTGGTCTGCTTAGTTATTATGTTTGCAGGTGGATTTGTCTGCATATCTGTTAACCTGAGTCAGTGAAAATGGGAGAGGTTGCAGTACCACTTTTGGCCAGATTTTTACATACATCAGAAAAACAGAATAATACAATTAGGAATTACACCAAACAAATACTGTATTAGAGGCCGTATACCTCCAGTTTCAAGTAACACTAGCTTGCCCTCTTCTGTGCAGTTTCTCCATCATCGGTGTACAGTCCTCAATTTCAATACCACTGTCTGATGACTTTTTTGTCTTTTAAGCAACACACAACTTTGCAGTGAGTGAGAGGTGACACAAGGACACACTTCAGCCAAACTCAGCAGATTGCGCTCAGCTCCTCGGGCAAAAACTCTGGATTTGTCATGGCGTATGGAGCTGAATATGGAATCATGCAATTGGTCAGATCTACAGTTTACAGTTACAGAATGGACATGGTTAAGGCAGTATTAGTCGCCACCACTTCTGCTACTTTCACTACCACTCTTACCTTTGTTGGGACTGACTTTTGATTACTTGTATCGGAGAAAACCAAATTGTTTCATTACTCGCTGCTGGTGAAGGCTGTAAAACTACACACAAGTCACACTGGCCTCTCTCCCTCTCTGGTGTCTTTCTCTTGTCTTTCTCTGGTCTCCCTCTCTGTACAGCCTCTCTCAGGTCTCTTTGTCTTCCCCGTGGTGAAAAAACAACATGGGTCCAAACAACACATCCCTTTTTCCCCACTGTTGTCCTCGGTCCACACAGCATTTCAACACGTTCTGAAAAACATGAGGCCACCTTGGAAACTAGCTTAATTCTTGTTTTTAGCATCTTAAAGGTGATTTCTTACAGCTTTTGACAGAGCTCTAGTATTTTTCCCTTGTCATTGCATACTACTACTACCATTACTACAAGCCTATCCAGTCACCACTTTCCCGCTGTACACAACTGTAGCAGCAGCCGTAGTGGGCTGATAAGTTTTTTTTTTTTCCCTAATATCATTCCGGCACTTTGAAACTGACACAGTTCTCTTCACTAATGACACTGCGTTTCAACTGTGCCTCAATACGCTTGAAGATAAGGCTCAAAAAAACCGTATGTTGCGGCTAATTAGAAGTATAGAAGCCAAACTGTGGCTTCTTTTCACTGCGGCTCAAAGCACCGTAGGACCCACTGGAGCCTCTTACAATTGCATATCACTCTTCAAAGTCGCTGCTAATTAATATATTTTAATTTGACTTTCCTTTCAACACAAGAAAGTTATGTTTTTTTTTTTTCGTTTTTTTTGAACTTCATAAATATTTCCTTCTAGTGCCAATGTCTGAATATGATTGGAATTAAAGTCTCTGTAGTGCAATGTTTTCTACTAATAATTAATACTATTACATTATGCATATTGTTTGACAGAAAGAATATTGAAATAGCAAAATGTTGTCTTCTTCTTGTTATAACATGTTATTTGTGGCATATGACATACAGTATATCTTTCGGCTTTTGAGATGATTGGCTGTCCATATGTTTTTGTTTATTGATACAGTTTCAAATAATTGATTTTTGTATAGCCCTAAATCACAACAGTAGCCGTCGCAGAGGACATTAAAAAGTTGTTAATTCACCAACCACAGATCAGAAAATATCAAACAGTTCGAACACGGATTTACATGAATAACAAACACATTGTAACCATTGGTCCATAGGGATGATTACTGTCCATAAAGGTTAATAGATGTCCTTAAATGTTCTTATATCCAAAGAAAAAAGGTAAGAAAAGAAATTAAAAACCTCTCAAAATCCCATTTTGAGAGAGGGATCCACTCAAACGGACAGACAGGCTATAGATCCAGGACTCAGGCACTTGTCTTCCAAGCTATACCAAGTCGGGCGTTACGGTGGCTGAGTGGATAGCACTCTCGCCCCCTCAGCAAGAAGATCCTGGGTTCAAGTCCCAGTCGGACCTGGGCCTTGCTGAGTGGAGTTTGCATTATCTCGCCGTGTCTGCGTAGGTTTCCTCCGGGTACTCCGGTTTCCCCTACCACTAAAAACATGTACAATTGGTTTGGCATGCGCTTCCTGTACTGGCGACCCCGCTCCCATCTCTCTGTGTAGAGTGAGAGGACAAATGCCCAAAAAATAACAATTGTAGACCGCTTTGTGACTCTGGTCTGTGAAAGGCGGTATATAAATAAACATTACTTACTTACTTAAGTCTTGTCCCAGTCTTCTGTTAATATTTTGTCTTTGTGTTACCCTTAATTGAGAAAGTTTGATTTAGCAGTCTATTGTTGTGAGATACTGCTGTTTGACTCTACCCAAAATCATATCCTATCATGTATTCCATTTCTTGTAGAATATAATTGTTTTATATTACATATTCCAATATTCTCTTTGATATTTTTTGGTGTTTAACCTGTGCTTGCCTTATCTCACAGGAGTGTAAGCCACAGCAGTGGAGAGCCAGCATTGAGACCAAGGACAGTCTGTACATCAGGGAGGTGCGAGAGGAGGACACCGGGAACTACACATGTGAACTCACTCTGGGGGCCTTCGTGGTGCGCAAAACCACCCAGCTCTCCGTCACCGGTAAGTCCACAGCGATACGCCTACTTCTGCTGCATCAGCTGGTAAAGGTCTAAAGCTGGGGGTACCTCCCTTTTATTCCTCATGAATAATCTATGTTGTGAATCAAATCAATTTTGTTTTCAATTCAATGTATTTTTGTATGGCCCTAAATAACAAAAGCAGTCATTTAGGAGGACTTACATAATACAGCTGACAATTCAACATATCAGAGAATAGAATAGTTGGAACATAGGAAATCCAATGTTTACAAACACATGAGAGCCTCTAGTCCAAGGGCGGATGAAATGTTAATACTGTTCTTAGACCACAACATTCTGTCTTCGTCGTAATATAAAACAACAATTTAAGAAAGAGCCTTTTGAGTCACTATTGTACTCTTTAGGCTGAGAGATGCTAGGCTGAGTGAGGTTGGTCCACACTTTTATATTTTTCTGTCTGAAAAAGCTGATCTAAAGATGCGACTAAGTAAAAAAAAAAAATAATAATGTGAAAACTAGTTATAGAACGAATGATTTGTTAAACTACGTGCCTACATATCTACCACTTTGCTTTGGTGGTTTTGCTTGCAGACGTGTATTCTTGTCATCAGGATACAATTGGTACCCGTTGAATTGGTTCGAGCTTCAGGAAAGTTATGCTTGGATACTTGGATAAGTGTGTAACTCTAAGCATGCTTCATCAGGTCCATTGACTTCCTGTTCAAAAGTTGCAGGATTGTTTAGTAAGTGACACAGTGGTATTTTCCTGAGTTTCCCCTTACAGTATATTAGGACCATTGTGGCTAAAGCACAAGCTTGCATACCACCAGTGTGAGTGGACTGAATGAATATGGCGAGGAATTGACTATAACAACAACATAGTCGTTTATGTTTCTCCGACAGGGATCAATAAAGTATCTATCTATATACTGTAGGTTTCATTCAGCTTCTTTCCATAAGAGAACACAGGAAATATCAAACAACAACATAAGAGATTTGAAGTGGAGCCCATGCAAACACAATACAAGCTCAAACACACACTAAATCCTCAATCACCAACAAGCTTCAGAGTTCAGCAAGCTTACAGCAGCTGGGACTAAAGAATTTGACTGAAAGTTGGTTTTACAATATGAGGAAATAAATGTTACACACTTCACATGTGGAATTCTACTACATAACTACTCTCCTTTCACTGCCTTCTACCTGCATCTACCTGCATTTTCCCTGTCCCATTTAACAGCCTTTTAATTGCAAAGTGGCAGCCGCCTCTTCAGCACATTCTCCTCGTTGGGCTCCTGAAATATTTAAACCCGGATGGTAGATTGCCTGACTGATCGCTGTACTTTTTTACTGTCACTGTCCAGGCTTATCGGAGAGGGCTCTGTGTACCTCGGAGATATAGGCCACTGTTTAATTAATAGGGATCAATTAACAGACCTGATGTATGTCTTAAGTTAGTCTCAAGGGTCTATTTAAGATGGTAAGTGCTTGTGTTTTGTGTAAATTGCAGTAGAAGTAAGATAGCAAGGGCAAAATGCATTTATTATGTTACAGCAGACCGTTTTATAAGCTTGCTGTCAGATGTCTGACAGTTTCTCAGTTTTACTAAATGAATCATCAAAGCATTTCTCACCTTGGCTTTCGAAGACATTTAACTTGATGTGTCTCAATATGTGTGCATGTGTGTGTGTGCATGTGCTGTCTATGTAGCTGGTGTGATGAAAAGACAGCAGAAAGTCTACAAAACTTTAACAAGTGGTCCATATATCTTTCAACTCTTTGAAGTGCTCAGTCTGCAGTGGTCATGGTTAGGTCCTGGTTAAGTATTAAGTATTTATAAAACTTGTGAGTCAATTTGTAACACTTGGTCTGAGAAAGTGTGGTCTTTACTTCACTTTCATGCTGAAGCTGTGATAAAGACCATCCATTCATTTTCTTCCCCTTAATCCATTTCTGGTCAGAGCTGCACCCAGTACATACCACCAGCCCCTCACTGTTCCTCCTGCAGGTGGTGAGTCCACAGGAGCATTTGAATATTTTTTATATTACTATACATTTTTATTATAACATGAACAAAATCTAACTATTTTTAAGAACTATTACTATGTAAGATGATGATTATTGATTTCAAGTAAAGTATGTATTGAAAGGTTGAAAATACATAAAGACAAGAAAGAAAGGTATGATGACAGGCACACTGGAGGGGGAGTTGGTTTCCTAATTGAATGTATGTGCAACCCTAACCCTAACCCTGGGACAGATTGGGTGTTCTTTGAGCATATTATTGACCTGGTAACAACAGAGGGAGGTGGCATGTAATTTGGAGGTGGCGATCTCCAACCAGAGACTTAACCCAAAGTTGGACACCTCTGGAGCAGCCCAACCGAATAGTGCTGTTGCCAAAAAAATTAGAAGAATGTTTTCACAACTGGCTATTGTGGATGTTTGGATAGAGCTGAATCCAACTAAACGAGGGGATACCTTTCATTGCCTCACTCAGTGTACTCGAAGATTGATTACTTTTTAACATATGTGAGGGGTGTGGATCTTGGGGTAATGGATCTTTCCGATCATCGTCCAGTTTATGTTAAAGTAACCATGGGTAAAGAAATGAAAAAAACTGTTTAAAGGCTAAATTTGGCTTTGGTAAATAGTTCAATGAAAGAAGAAATTGAAAAGGAAATTGTAGAATATGTCGAAAAAAATGACAATGGGGAAGTATCTTCCTCAATTGGGATATTAATTGCTAGGTCGGCCTTTAGGGAGAAAGTTTAAAGAGAAAAATTGAAATCTCTGCATCTAGAGCTGCAAAAATTAGAGGGAAGACATAAAAACAAAATAGACACTGGTACTATGGTTGAGATTTAAAAAAAAAAAAGCAGAGATTAGTGATATGTTGTCACAACAGGAACAGAAGACAATGCTGTACACTCGACAGAAGTGTTATGAAGCCAGGAGTAGAGCCACAAAACTATTGGCATAAAGACTTAAAAAACAACAAACAACAAGGCATATTTACAAAGTGAAAGACCCACAAACAAAAGGAGAGGTATAGAAAACAGAAGAAATCCATATATGATTTGAATCCTATTATAGTAAGTTGTACTCCCTGGTTGATAAGAGCAGTGTACTGTATCTCATTTTCATGATTTTTTTAATGACTTAAATCTGCCCAGTGACAGAACAAGAAAATAATGTGTTGATGTTGGAAATAACTGAACAGGAAATTAATACCGCAATTTCCAAGATTAAAAATAACAAAAGCCAGGTGCAGATGGAGTCGCATCTGAATGGTATAAAGTATTTAGAGGCCAACTGGTTCCATTATTACACAAAACCTTTAACTAGATAAAAAAAGGGGGGGGCAATTCCAGATTCGTGGAGGGCGGTAATTATTATGATAATTGCAAAAGAGGGAAAATATTGGACATCTCAATGTTGAGTACAGATTGTTTACGTCAATACTTGCATGGAAAAGATCTTACCAGAAATAATCAGTTTGGATCAAACCGGTTTTATAAAGTATCGGCAAACACAGGATAATATTCGTAGAACTCTACATATAATTCAGCAACAAAATGGAGGCCTTGATAATGGGGATGGATGCAGAGAAAGCATTTGATTCGGTGAGATGGGAATTTTTGTTCAGGACAATGAGGAGGTAAAACTCACAAGAGGTTTTGATTAAGACTATTCAAACTTTATATACAAATCCAATAGCAAGGATCAAAGATATTGGAAGTGTCTCCAACATCATTTTACCTAAAGACATAGGAAAACTAAAAGCTTCAAATTATAATACAATAATATTCATTCATTCATTTTCTACCCCTTTATTAGTCAATTTCTGGGTCGGGGGGTGACAAGGAGAGCTGCCACTCAATGGTCATAGCAACAGTCTCTCGCTGCTCCTCTGCAGGTGATGAGTCCACAGGAAGATGGCTGCTACATTAGTGGTGCATAGCCTTGGTGTTTCAGCGGGAGCTTCAGGCAATGTGGGGTTAAGTGTCTTGCCCAAGGACACAACGACAGCATACATTAGTGGGAGCAGTTGGAGTAGGTCCCGAGGTAGGCTCAAACCTGCGACCTTCCAGCCCAAAGGCCAATGCTCTACCAACTGAGCTACCGTCACCCCCTAATATGTATAATTACAATAATATATGTATAAAAAAACAGACTTAGCTAAATGGGAACGGATGAACCTGTCATCAAGAGTAGATATTATAAAGATGAATGTCTTGCCCTGGCTGCTATACCTATTTTTAAACCTTCCAATATACATTTCTGAAAGAGAATTCAAAGAGTGGGATAAAACTATTTCTGAATTTGTATGGCATGGAGCAAAGCTAAGAGTAAGAAAGTATAAAACATTACAATTGGCAAAACAGAGAGGGGGGCTGTGTGACCCAGATTACACTGCGAGATGTTAACGTCTGGGCTGAAATTGTCAAAAAGCATAATCTGACAACCCACTGTAGATTTTTGTTGTGGATTTTTTACAATCCAGATTTTGAACCTAACAATCTAGACAAAGGTTTCAAATCGTGGAAAACTGGACCAAAGATGCACTGGGAGGTAGTGAAGAATTGCAATGTGGTGAGCTTCCTGATATTGAAGGAGAAGTATAAATTACAAAGTCAAGATTTGTAATATCTGCAGATATATTGTTATTTAGCAAAAGGAAATTAATAAAGTGAACAAAGGTTAAACTTGGCCATGTATTTTTCAAAGTATGATGGATGCATATGGGTCGCAGATACAGAAAGCAATCTCAAAATTGTATCACATCCTGAAAGAATTTAAAAAAAGACAATACTTATTATATAAATGAAAGAAGGGAAAAAGAAACAGGCATAGAAATCTGAATAAAATAAATGAATAAAGAATAAATGAATGCCAGGGAAAAGTTACAAACTCTATTTCTTGGTGGGAATTTGGGTTGAAAAACACTTAAAGATTCTTTGCAACTCCGGTGCAGAGAACACATGAGACACCAAGTGTTCGCGATCCTGAGGGGAAGCTAAAATGGGTCACTTCCACCTTTTCTGGGGATTTACGCAGTTAAATCAGTATTG